CCGGGGATCGAGACTTCTGCGTGACGACGTCAAGGAAAAACATGACGTCGGGGCGGTTGGGTGGCTGCGCTGATACGCCCGTGTTGCAGCGCAGCACGTGCCGTGTTCAGAGCGTCCGTGTCAGCACGCTGCGCGTCGGCCCGGCACGCGCTCGCCCTCGCTTTGGCGGACGGGCCGCGCCAGACCTGCGCGTTCCGTCCACGCGTTGCGTGGAGCTCCGTGTCGACACGCTGCGTGTTGCGTGCGGCGTTTCGAGCCTTCTGGAGGCACCGGTCATCAGGCCTCACGTGGGCCTCCTGAGGTCCCCTTCCTCCCCCGGAGGGCGCTTCGCGGCCTGACACCTCCGCCGCCCCATCCTGGATGGATGCCGCGGAGAGCCTGCAGGAATCCCTGGCCCATGCCCTCCCAGGAGCTTCGAGCTGGCCGGTTGGGGACTGCGACGCTTCCGCCCAGTGACGCCCCCAATTCTGGCCACTCGTATTGTACTGGTAGGGCCCCCCCCCCAAGGTCTCCAAGTGGCTTCTGCGGGGCGTCTGAGGAGCTTCAGCGTCTTCTGGGACCTTGCGGGACCCCAACGGGCTTTCAGGGCATCCTACCGGGACAAGGAGAAGATGCGCAGATTCGAAGGCCCCCCCCCCAGCGGGGTGGATCGCGCAGACCCCTGCGCACCTCAAGAAGCACCCAGTCAGCGGCCTTTATGGCCTCCAGCGGGCCTCGGTGCGACACCGCGCGGCCCATAGCTGGAGGTGAGTGGCAGGCTTTCTTCTTCCAGACTGCCCCTCTCGCGGCCGCGCGCGAAGCCTTGTCCCATTGGCCCTTCGCTCTTCTGGCTCCAGTTGGCGCGAGCGCCCCCGTTCCGCCGCGGCCGCCGTGCCAGCAAGCCCAGGGAGACAGCAAGGCGCGGCAAAAGCACTCTGGAACGGCTGCGGCGCCCGACATGTCCCCCCGCCCCCCCGGACCAGTGATTGCATGGCGCGCAATAGATGTATGGCACCCCGCAGGATGCACAACATATATTGCACCCCGCAGCTTGCACCACCGAGTAGCGTGCACCACATATTGCCCTCCCCCCCCACACACACACATACGTGCGACACACACACACACATACTCAAGCACGCACGCACGTACGCGCGCTCGCGCACACGCACACAAACACAAACACAAACACAAACACACACACACACACACACACCCACACGCATACGCACACGCACATACAGACACACACATACACGTACACGCGCACACACACACACATACATCCACACACACGTACATTGCACCACGTAACGTTGCATAGAGCGTTCATCGAGGGTGCAAAAACCTTTCTCGGGGGGTCCACGCTGGCAACCACGGTCGAGAACTTCGGCTTAGCGTGTCGCGACGCCAGTTCTGGCCCACCACTCTTCGGCGCGACCTCCAGGCGTCAGCGTCCCAAGCTTTCCCGAACCCCCCGCCCCGCGGAGCGGAGCGACATGTTATATTTGCTCGCATGGCATAGTGTGCTCCCGAGGCCGCCGCCGCGACACGCTATACAAAATCTTCCGACCGTAGGCCATCTCACCCACAGCTTGCGCCGCACAGCCTGAAACGCATAGACTGCATCTCATACCTCAATGGACCATTCCTGGGCCTCAGGGAAGGGTGGCGGTGTATAAGAACCACCACCGAGAGCCAACGACTTTTTGCACACCGCCGCCCTCCCCGAAGGTACCTGCAAAGTTCGTCGGAGGGTGACCGTCTGCATTTGGGGCGTTCCAAAAAGGCCTTGCCTTCGAGGATCGACGGAGTTGTCATCTCTTCCGCCGCAGAAGGCGGCGAAAGGGCGGCGGAAGGTCGGCGGAAGTAAAATGAGGCCGCCTCCGCCGGCGGAAGCCGGCGGAAGGCCACAGAAGTAACAAAAACGCCTCCAAGAGGTGAACACATGTTTTGGCTTCGGGGTGTCTGAAATCGCCTAGATACTTTCGCGGCGCAGGCGCGGCCACGTCTGGGCCCACTCTTCCCGTGGGCGTCGGTCGGCTCGTGACCGCCGCCGCCGCCATGCTGCGACGCGCCGTGGCGGCGGCGCCGCGGGCCGCCCGCTGCGCCGCGGCGGCGGTGCGGCCCGGCGGCGCGCGGGGCGCGCTGCCCTGCACGGCTCCGCCAGCTGCGCTGCGGCCGGGGCGGGCGCTGGGTGCCCGCGGCGCCCTCGGCGGCCAGCGGGGTTGCACCGGCGGCCCAGGGGGACATAAGAACCCAGACGCCCTCGCGTTGTGAAAAGATCATGACGATGGGTCTTTTGCTAGTTTCGCCTTGTGGGGGCCCTTACTGGGCCTCGGGGCCGTCCAAAAGCGATTCAGGAGGAGAGACCAGTCCCAGGGAATGGGTCGAGAATTCTGGGGGTCGACGCAATGACAAAATCACGACGTTGGGGTTCTGGAAACCGTGTAAGGTTTAGCCCGTTTCATGTAGTATAGGTGGATTTGTTGTCGTCCTCCTCCTCCTCCTCCTCCTCCTC